ATTAGAATTTTAAAATTTTCAATCTTAAAGCGAGGATCACAAATAAAACCAATTTTATAAATATCAGGAATGTACAAATAATAAGCACACCATTTATCCTTCATAGGATAGACATAGGGGTACAAATCTGGATCAGCTAAACTTTCACGAAAACATGTTGCGATTGTAATATAATCTTTAAAAAATATATTTCTAGTTGGTTGGTAAACATGCAAGAAAGTAAGAGTTGCGTTATTAAAAACGTCTAATACGGGATTAGAAATATTTGCACTAAATAGCACTGAAACTTAAGTCATTTCTCTAAATAGCACTTAAATTGTTTTATTCCTTAAATAGTACTTAATAATGTCCATAATGACCAATGATGACAAACATTACTTGAATAATGACTAATGGATAATGACTAAAAGTGCTACATAGGAAAAAAACACATGTAATGCTATTTAGGGAAAGTCATTATGTTCTAGTGCTATTTACGTAAATTTCTCATTCAATTTTTCAACAATAACAAATTCATTCAATGGAATCATAAAACTAAGTTCATTCCTAAGAAATTCAGGAAGTTCCTCTTTGTAACTTAGAATCTGTGATATCAACTTGTATGTACTATTTCATCTAATCGTGATATCTTTGACAAATGTTATTTCTCTTCGATTCCTAGATTTACAGAATGATTTCCAGGATTTCGTATTAAAACGACTACCCCAAATCTTTTTAATTCCATTTTTAATATTCGTCAACCCCCCCATAGCTTTCATTCCCTGTTGAACACATAAATTTAAAACATGACAAGCACACCTTTGATGCAGAAATCTACCCATACTCATAGTAGGGGGGCAATTTTCTTTAAGTTTAGGAATAGCAGTAGTATTATTAGTAGCATTATCAAAACCAAATGCAAACACATTATCAAGTAAATTGTATTCTCGCAGAATACGCTCAAGCAATAGAAATATATTTCCAGCACTATGAGAATCATTGAAATCACAAAATGCAAGAACACGTTTATGCATTATCCAATACCTATCTATCCAATGACAAGTAACATCCATATAAGACAAATTATGATATGTTTTACTCCAAATATCAGAACAAATAGTAACACGAGAATTAAAATTAAGAAAAAATTTGTCAAATTCATTTTTTCAAGTTTATATTGTCGAATAAATCCAAGTTTTTCAGAATATATATATGGAAAATTTTCTTCACAAATCATTTCGGCCAGTGTTTGCTTATTTTGCTTGTCGCTATAAGCAAAAAGAACGTCGTTACCCCTGTTCACAAACCGAGAAATTTGGGTTTGCACTTCTTGTCGTCCCTTCTTTTTTGCCGTGTATTTGGCGTACTCCACGGGGCGCCTCGCCCTTAGGTGTTTTTCTGGACCACCATAACCGCTGGAAATTCCCATTTTAATGACGGTGCCACAATAATTACATGTTCCAAAAACTACGCCATCTTTTGTTTCTTTTAAAAAATGATAAACAAATAAATCTGATTTTAATTTTTTTTACCTTTCCCCGGACCTTGAGAGGTCTCGGGCTCACCTGCCTCTTCATCGACGTCGGTAGGATTGTTGCTCTGCGGTGTAGGCTCCACGTCCATTTCTGCTTCATCAATGTCCTCGAATATACTTTCAAGAGTTTGAAGATTGGTGTTGGCTCTACCTGACATATAACGTTCGAATTCTTGATCCGTCAAAGCGTCGCCCACGAATTGATCAGGGATAGTAGGGAAGGAAGAGACAGAGTGTCTTCCTTGAGAATCACGTGATCTCAAATCATCGGATGTGGCTTTAGCTTTGCCTTTCCTCAAACTTCAGTTCACGACACCCATATCCACGGACCTTCTACCAGACTCTCTCGACATTTGAATAATTTTTTTTGATAAAAAAGGACTATATTAAATATTTAAAATATTAATTATATATTGAATTTTGAAATCATAATATTAATTAATAACAAATTAATAATATGATATATTAGTAAAATAGTAAACAGTAATATATGATAATATGATTATATGAATAATGAATGTATAACTAAAAATTTAATATTATATGAGTATATATTTATATACTCTCTCCGTCTCAAAAAGATCGTTACGTTTCATTTCTTTGCGCATCCCTTAAAATATTTTTATATCGTCTCAAATGCCAAAAAAACTTTCAAAACAATTTCATCTTATAATAAAGAGTAAATATGGTAAATTTTAGAAATTTTAGATGTGAGTAGCATTGCTTTTTGTGATGCGCAAAGAAATGAAAAGTAACGATCTTTTTGGAACGGAGGGAGTATTATATAATATATTAATATATATTTATATTATTATATAAATATAAAATGTATAAAGTTTGAAGAGAGATAATAGGGATTAATAGAGAATTAGAGAGGATTAAGAGGAAATGAGGAATAGATTGAGGAATGAGATATTGAGATTGAGAATGCTGTGATATTTTTTTTAAAAAAAATAGTGTATTTATAATGTAAAACATGCCCCCTCCCCTAACCCCCAAGCCCCCCCTCAACGGCATTCTAGCCGTTTGAGGGATCCCCCCACTAATGTTTTATTTCAGCAAGTAGCCCACGAATACCATTAAAGGAAAAGCAAAAAAAAATTACAAAGGGTACCGGAACCGGTACTGGCACCACCGGTGCCGGTACCAAAATACTGGCACCGGAGTAGGGGGCGGTGCAGTACCGGTTCCTCGGAACCAGAGAGACGTGACGGCCAATGGTGACGGTTGCAGTACCGTTGCTGGTAACGGTACCGTGTCCAGGCCTATGCATTGGTGTAGGATTTCAAAGCTAGAATGAAGAACGAAGTAAACTTTGAATTCAAAGTAAGAATGCACATTCTATATCCAAATTTATAAGATACTACCTCAAACACAGACAACGACGAATTATTTTTTTATCCAAAATTAGAGTTTTTAACATATTTATTTGGGATCATTTAATTGAGTAACTTTTTAATACCTAAATTATTCCAACATTTTCCTATTTTTTTAGTTTTTTCCCAAGTTCTCCCAACATACAACTCTAAAATTTCAACAAAAAAGAACAACGCCCAAATATGCCCTAATTATTATTTAAGGAGCTATATGCAAAAATAGCCTTTATGATTTTCTAGAAATAGGTAAATAGTACTAGAACTTCCAAAATTTTCAAAATAGTCCATGTGGTCATTGAACTTACGATATATTTAGTTAGTCTATGCTTTAAAAACATATGAAGCGTGCATAACACGCCTTTATTATAAAAATAAAAATATAACAGAACAAAAACCCAATCTTATAAAATTATCCTAAACTTTATGGTTTAAAGTAGTGTAGGATCTTTCACCTCTTATACTACACCCTTAAAAAAAACTTTTAACAATCTCTGAGGTACTTCTAAACCTAATGTTATAAACCCTTAACTTTATCAATAGAGACGAATATTTTATTCACTTTCACTTTTCATTCAACAAACACTATTGCTAGCAACTCTTCTAAACATAGGTAATCACTTATTTCAAGAATAAATAACTCTTTCGATATTTTGATTCACATTGCCATGCTTTGTAATCCCTTATTTCAAGAATAGGGGGTGTTTGTTTTTTCTGTAGGAAAAGGTCTGCGGATCACTACTGTAGACATCTGCAGGAGAAGTGGTGGATCAAAGGTCTACGGTCTGCAAGAAGAAGACTGTTTGTTTTTTAATGTTTGTAGACTGCTATATAAATTAATGGTGGTAGTGTGCGGTGGTGGTGTATGGACGATTGCGGTGGTGGTGGAGGGTGGTGGTGGACGTTGACGGCAGTGGTGGCGGCGGTGGATGGTGGCGGTGGTGGTGGACGACAATGGTGATGGACAGTGGCTGTGATGGTGGATGGTGGTAGTGGTAGTGGTGGGCGATGACGGTGGTGGTGGACGATGGTGGCAGTGGACGATGGCGGTGGTGGTGGACGACGGTGTTGATGGACAGTGACGATGATGGTGGACGGTGGTAGTGGTGGACGGTGGCGGTGGTGGTGGACGACGGTGGCGGTGATGGTGGACGGTGGTGGTGGTGAAAAGAAGTAGAAGAAAAAAATGCAGAAGATGTTAGAAGACATAGATTAATGTCTTCGCCAAGAAGATGCCAGGAAGACCTTTTTGAGTAAAATATCTTCCAAAAAACAAACAATCTGCAAAGCTCAGCATCTGCGCGGCGCATACAAAAGAGGCCAGAAGCTCTTCTGGCCAAAAAAACAAACACCCCCTAAATAACTATTTCGTTTTCTTCACAAAAAATGCAATTGTATTCAAATGTGCAATTAATTCTATTTCAATACAATCACACTCAACAAAAATATATTTTATGTAATTAAAATTGTTCATAAAATGTAATTACAAATAAATTATTTTATAAAAAAATATATTCAATTGTAAACATTCACTTAATAAAATAATCTAAGAAACTAAGATTATATACGGAGTATAAATTTTTTTGCAATAATAGCTACTCCCTCTGTCCTAAAACGTTCTTCCCTCTTCCCCTTTTTCTTCGTCCTAAAACTACCTTCCCATTGGAAAAAAAGATGACAAATGACATTAATACCTTCATGTATTTACACCAATTATCTTCTAACTCTATATTTTAAATGATTGCAAAAAAAATTTCAAAAAATCTTTTTTAAGGAGGGTAAAATTTGAAGTCAAAGCCAAAAATTAAGAATAGGAAAAAGTCAAACTGGGAAGAAAGAATTAGGACGGAGGGAGTATTACAATTGCAGTATCTATTTTTACATACTTTCTCAACCTATTGTTAGCACCAAGAGTTATAACTTCTACTAGGAATTGAACCTGTGATCTCCCGTTTGAAGGAGTCACCTTGGTACAATTGCACCAGATGATCTTTGGCAAAATCACATTGAGATAAACATATTTATGAAATGTTGCAAAATCACATAGATAAATGCATGATAAATTAAACAATAACTTATATGACTACGATGTTGCAAATCTTTAACCAATATAGGACACAATGATTAAGCCACAAAGAAATTCAAAGACGCAGATATATATATTTTCTTTTCCTCAAGAAAACTCAGGATAATGCCCCTAATAATAACAAAAGATATGATAGATAATGCAACAGAAAAAATCTATTCACTAATACTCCTATTAAGAACTAAGAACGCAGTTCGTAGCTTAGCCTAGCATTGTCTGGAAGAAGATGAAGATAGTAGAATAATATAGTACCAAAAAAACTCGGGAATGGAAGCAACAAGGAATCCTCCCTGCAAGAGCACGTACACAAGGTGCACCTGCAATTCACTAAAACTAAACCTTTTTGATAATTTGGACAACATCTTCATCCTCCAGTTCATGCTCCTAGTAAATGAGACAGAAGTCAATAAATGTTTCTTCATTTATTTATTATAAGGTAGAAGATGAAGTAGAGTAGAAGGCAGAAGTTATGAAACATTTCAGTGAGAACTGACCTTTCCGACTCTTTGTGGCTTGTGCTTTACACTTGAACCCCAAACCAGGGCACTGCAGCAATCACCCATAAATTCTTTCAGTAAATTCGAAGTCGAAGGGACATTATTTTAATATATATGTCTGGGTTCACCGTAAACAAAACACAATTAACTAAAAAAAACGCACACCCCCATTTCTTAGTCATTCTATAATAGAAATAAAATAATAAAAAGTATGCCAAAACATACTCAGTTTTCCTAGAAATGACGAAGGTAAGAATCTATCTTGTATTTCCTCCCAAAATTTCTTTGCTTCCCATTTATTTCTCTATAAACGAGCTCTCTTTTCTGGGCCCCAAACGAACTCTCTATTATTTCCACAACATACATTCTTCCCTTAGTATTTTTTGGGCCCCAAACGAACTCCCTTCTTTGGTACACCAGATGGGAAATAACAGAATTAGAGTCTAAAAATCTCTATCCGTTGTTGACCTCCCAAAAAGGTTCGGGAACCCTCTTAGGCGGGGATGATCTAGAGTTGTCAAATTCTTCAGGCCACTAAGAGAAGTTTCCGTGTTCCATAATCCAAACGGACCCCAAGTGCTAGTCTTCTTTAAAGGCATTAAAGCTTATATCCTTAAAGTCCTATAGAGAAGGCTTTGGCATTATTGTATAAGTCTAATGGAGTTACTAATCAGATTGATTAGAAAGTTGAGATAAGTAACATCAAATCAACTGGGATTGATCCTTTAGGAACCCCATAGAGGAGTTACCACAAAGGATCTATAGATCCCCTATATATTGTATTTACAGAAGGAAAATGTGACACCTCGTAGCTTATGAATCTGTTGGAATATAGGATGTGTAAAAGACAAACTTGCGGGGGGAAAACTTACTATTTGAATTGTTTTGCCATATCTTTGTGAATACGTTCGCAGAAGTCCTCAATCGTCCTTTTCCTTGATGACAATATTACAGGATCTTCATAGTCTGGATTCATTCCCTTGGGCTTTGTATATATACGGGTCAAATTCAGATATTCCCAAATCTTCTCGAGTAAGCCATCAAGGTTCCACTCAAGATGAGCACTGCAGCAAATATATCAAGACAAAATTTCCCTTCATTTAGCTTAGCCACAGATTGACCTTGTACACTCCAGTGATTTTTTATTGTAGCTTAGACTCCAGTCGTTTGCCATTAATTCATTATATACATGTCTTTCAAATTTCATTATATAAATTATTCTGCGTATCATCTTCTACACAAAGCTATAACCTTCATATCACTGATACAGGATTGATTACCTGATTGGACAATAGTGAGGAAGTTTATCGAGGATCTCCAGTTCTTCCAGGGTAATCTGATCAATCTTGTTTACAACATAGATGCAAGGCATATATACTCTACTACCTTCGATGACATCAATAAGGTCATCAGCCGTTGCGTCATATCGAAGATGTACATCAGCATTGTGTACTCTATATTCGCTGCATATTGCCTTCACAGTTTCCAGGTCAAGGTTTGTATTGGCAACTGTTGATGTCAAATTGATTCCACCTTTATCCTTCTTCCTAAATGTCAAATTAGGTGGTTCTTTGTTTAACCTGCAATCATCATAAAACAAAAAAGGAATAATTAATCTCAGAATCAGCAAGCAAAAAAAAAACAGGAGATATATTGTGCATTACCTAATTCCAAATCCTTCAAGCTCTTTCTCTATCAGATGCTTGTGAGTGATAGGTTTTATTGCATCCAGAACAATCAAAATGCAATTACAAGTCCTAGCAGTACTTATAACCTGGATTTTAAGATAAACTACAGGTGAATAATTTATGAGAAATTTTAAAACTTTGCAAAGATAATGGCGTGGAAGGTACTTGTTCTTGAACAAATTAAATCTCAAAGGTTTTAGAAAGGCGTGCCCAATGCACAAAGAAATTTGTTCATAAACAAATTACATCTCAAAGATTTTGAAACAGGAAGCCTAATGCACAATTCTTCTAACACGTGTAATGTCTTGGGGAGGCCTGCTAAGTACCAGTTACTGCACTTGTACAGCTGCTCCCATGGGACAAACATAACAAAAAAGCAAAACCTGTGAATTCTAAAGGCAAATGTTAAAGCAATTCAAGCACCATTGCACCAAAGGTACCCAACATATCCGATGAAGAGTACTCAATACCGAACACTGACCCACCACTCCATTCACCAAACACATTGTTAAATATTCATGTGAACAAAACATAGCCTAAAATGATATTTTGGGTTTGTGTTTGATTAACAATACATCTTCATCAATATAGCTATCACTTTTAGCTGAAAATTTATCTTCTAACAAGTTCTGGACCAAAAAGATATTTCATCTATAATTTCAGTGCTAAAAAGAAAATGGTTATCAAATGACACCTGAAATATTAGAATCTATCAATTGAATACTACAAATGTTAATAAAACAAAATTTGACTTTGTTCTCACATCATATCAAAAAATAAAAAATATGGAGTATTAAAAGGATCATCTAAAGTGGATTAGATTGGTAACAAAATAACTATTTGCAAATTTATTCATATACTTAAATTATCTGCTACTTTGTTTTACTCATTCATTGTCAATATTGAATTTATTATTTCCAAGGTTTAAAAAGGCTAGTTCGGATGTCAAGGCAATTTCTTTCACAGACGTGTGGTGTAAGCCTCAAAATGTACATGTTTTTTTGCATGATTATTGATTATAAGTCCAGAAAGTGCCAAACATAAAGACGCCATACTGACTCCCTCACCCGCATTATTTCAAGATTAAAGTTCAAACACACAATGTTATGCTTCATACAACTTTCATTAAAATCTATTAATTATTTAATTTGATGTCACAGTCAAGTCAGATGCCATTGGAAGAAATTTAACTGGCAGTGTTAACTTATTGAGCCGTCGATAGATACATATTGATGGAGCAAATGGGGCTCACCGCTCGCCATATATGCGCTATTGGCGATTAGGCCCCTAATAGCCACAAATATGGCTGTAGCAACCGGTGTTCCCATTGCAACACCATATCGGCACCATCGCCACGCCATTTGTACGCTATTTTTTCCTGGACCGAACTTTCCCCGCCCAATATATTAGCACCCAACCCCCCCCCCCCTTTATTCAGATTGGCAATAGTCAATTGGCCAAGTATCTCTCACTCTCTTCAGTCGCTCATCTTCTTCGCACAGAACATCGCCATCCCAGCTTTTCTTCTTCTTTGCTAGTCGCAGCTAAAGAAGGTAGGAACGCTGTGTGCTGTGCGACTCTAGCCTGGCAACAATGTGACTCTAAAACAGAACCCCTGCAACCTCTGACCTCCTGGACCTATTTTTTCCTGGCCCAAAGTTTCCCCGCCCAATCCAAAAAATCCCCCTTTATTCAGGTTGGCAATAGTCAAATGGCCAAGTATCTCTCACTCTCTCCAGTCGCTCATCTTCTTTGCACATAACATTGCCGTCACAACTTTTCTTCTTCTTTGCTAGTCGCAGCTAAAGAAGGTAGGAATGCTGTGTGTTGTGCGACTCTAGCCTGGGAACAGTGTGACTATAAAACAGAACCCTCACTGCTCCGACCTCCTGGACCTCTAGGGGTGATTCAATATTCATATCTTAAATTGCTAGATTGAATGTTTTGTCAACTTAATTTGGAATTAACTTTTGAGTTTTGTTTAAGTTGTTTTAACACTAGCACCTTCGGGTGTTTTGGAATGAATTTTTGGTTGTGTTTTTTTTTTCAACTTGACTCTTTAGATCAAGTACTCTATTGTTTTTTTTATTGAATTTATGTCTTATACATTTGTGAATTCAGTTAATTGGTTGTGTGACTTGTGTCGTGTGGCGATACCATATTTGCGCCATAGCCATCACCATGACTGTCGCCATGCGCCATGACAACTATGATTCTATTCCATCAAGTCCTGGATGGATAACATATTTTTAGGTCTCAAATTGGTAGCTGATCTACCTTTTGACGAATCAAATTCCTATATTTTGTTAAAGGTAAAAGTACAGCTGTATGTAAGTTCTTTTGAGGCCAAAGTGACAGTCTAGTGTGTCTATGAGGGTGTGAGTGTGGGGTGTGGGAACATCATGCATCAAACTATAGCTAGCTAGGTTCAAATTTCTAATAGAGCTTGTCATTATTAAACAAGCAACACAGTGCGCGAAATGCTAATACCATATGATGGTATGTCGGTATGTCCTACTTTAGGCCCTGTTTGGTTCGAGGGGAAGGGAAAACGATCTCCCTCCAATTTAGGAGGAAGGAAAACAAGGGAGGGGAAGAAGAAGGTAAGTAAGTTCCCTTACCCTCCAAAATTTTAACTGAACAAAGCAGAAGGAAGTCTTCCATCCACTGCCCTCCCTTCCATTCAAACCAAACAAACCCTTGTTGAAAGAACAGGACATGAATCATGCCCAACATGGAGAACGGTCATCAGACATTGAGAAACTATTGTGCTTCATGATGCTATACCGGTGAGAATGGCCCAGTAGTAAGAGGTAAGAAAGATGGACAAATAGATATAGTGTACTGCGTATTATATGAACAAGAAACCAATAGTTGCAAGATCAACTATTTACCTGCCTTCCTCTACCTTTTCCATCTTTGGCACCCTCAATAATACCAGGAAGGTCCAACAACTGCCAATAAAGAGAGAATGAAAACATGTAAACAACTTAACTGCGAAGAATACAAATTATGAGCCAAGGGGAATTCTTAGGGTCCGTTTGGTATAAGGAATTGGTGGAATTGGAATTGAATTTGAATTGAAATTCCATGGGATTCAATTCCATAGAATTGAATTCTGTCAATTTCAATTCATTTTTTGCACTATCAATTCCAAATCCACATAATTTTTGTGCTACCAAACACCAGAATTGGAATTGAAGTCTCCAATTCCAATTCCATAATTTGAATTCCATATACCAAACGGGACCTTAGATTAATTGCTCCAGAGATAAACCTATATACCACATATCACTATCTATATGAATTACTTCATCCATCCCCTTTCTATCTTTTCATTTGCCTTTTCGAGACATCCTTGAATAATCTTCAAATTCCCTTTTAAGAAATTGTGTGGCCCGTATCGATTATTTCATTTCTCGATAAATTTCAATGACACAATTTCATTTTCTTAAACTGTGTAAAAAAGTAAATGGGAACAATAACTAGGGTGGGAAGCATAATATAAGAAGGAAAAATAAAGAATTCAGTTGCAAAGCTATAATCTAATCTTTCTAATGTGTGCATCTAATTTCAAGTAAACATAAATCTGGAAGCTAAAGTAGGGCTAGTTAAGGTACCTGAAGTTTAGCTCCTCTATACATGATCACTCCTGGAATACAAGTCAAGGTAGTAAACTCATATGAAGCAACCTGCAAACCATACAAATGGGACTCTTAGAGGAAAGTCTTCACCTAGAGCCTGTTTGGGATGAGTTTTGAAACAGGTAAAACCGTAAAACCATTATATCCAGATTTCAAAAGCAATAACTTGGTGCTTTTATTGAGATAAAATGATTTCAATGAATTTAAAATAGTAGTATAGTACACAGTAGAACGTTTTGTGTTTCAAGAGTTAAAGCACTTTTGTAAATTTAAAAGCAATAAATGCTGTTTTGTTAGCATAGTGCTTATTTGTGAAAGTGGTTTTTAAAAGTCATCTTAAACTGAAACTAAAGCTTTCCTACTAGTCTTCTATACTAACTCCCTGGTCTCCCCCCATTGCATCAAAGGCTATTCTTTCAAAATTACTTAACTAGTCATGGCTATACAATCCTTTTTATAGGCATGGCTCTATGACATTAATGTATAACATTAATACAGAGAAAAAAGAAATAGAAAAATAAACAAATGCACAAAGGGAAGCATAGAAATTCATAGCATCAAAATCACCAACCCGGTATATTCCCAAACATATTGGGATCCGGGGTCAAGTTTTATCATGTAGACAACCTTACCCCTGTAAAAAAATAGAGAGGCTGTTTTCACTAGCCCCCCCCCCCCCCTCATGCATTGCTGCATTTACTGCCCAAAACTTCATAGAAAGTAAAAAGGCAAGGAAAGTTCAATGTGCCATTTTGATTTAGCCTTTATTTACACGAATCTTAAACAATGTCAAAAATGACTCTTTTAGCTCCATTGGCGATGGACAACAAACAAATTCATAGCATCATGAAGTTATAATTGACTTCTTCATTGATAGGCTTATAGTTATCATCTTTGCTTACCATTTTAAAATTTGCAAAGGTTCAGAGATTTTGTCCACATAAGTACATAACTACAGCACTAAAACATCACTCCATATTATAAGAGCAGAAACACAAGCCCTCTATTAGTTTTGAGAATGTAGATGGAAATAGAACAAGAAACAAAATGATTTTCCAAACATTTAATAGCTTTGAGACTGAAAGTAGAAACAAATTATCTACACCGATGTGAAAATACAACATTAGCTAGCCGCATGAGTATAATTGGTCTAGTGAAAAGAACTGCAGTATACCTTACTGACAAGAGCATTAAGCTTCTTTACGATCACAACATGTAAGCCTATGTCTTATGATGCACTCATAAATTAAAAAGATGGATAAAATATCTGTGGATAAAATAAAAGCAGAGAATATTCAAATCAATTTATTCAGCTTTTTCCCCATTTAGATATCTACATGTGATATGTTTGTTTGAAAAGGGTGGAAATTCATAATATAATTCTGAGTACTAAACTATTTCCTAACATGGTTTTCATGGAATTTAACCTCAAAGGCCTAAATGTGTATATAATGATTAAATCAACTTCTCCTAAAAATGAAACTATCATGTTTCCTCTAGAACATTCAAGATCAAAGTCCAAAACAATTCTTTCAAGAAACTGAAATGTCTAAGAACAATAATTTGATGCATCAATTCAAACTAAACATGACATTAGGGGGTGTTTAGCTTGAAAATTGAATTCAGGATTAAAATAGTTATTTGAACATGTCTTGTAGAAGTACTGAAGTAGTGGTGTTTGGATATGGATAATCTGGAATAAGAATGAGAAACAAAACACTACTACAATAAGAAACTAGGTACCACCATTTCTTTGTTCTCTTGCATCTTCATTGCCTATTTTTGTCAAACAAACTCCCGAATAAGCCTTTTTCCTCAATCATCAACATCTTCCATTAAACTAATTCAATAATCTGCTCCATTAAAATGTTATATTCCTAATTGTCACTAGTCACCACTCTAATATAAGGCCGGTCCTTAGTCTTTTGCACCCTGTTGATGAAATCATGGCATCAGGTTCATCTTACTAAAAAAAATCTAATTCTTCATTTCGTTTTCTTGGGCGCTTGGGCCCCATATGGATTAGCCTTTTAATTCACCAATTTAGTAATCATAACCCTGTTTTCAGGAGTCAGTCTAAAAATTGATGAATATCCAAATCTTATGAATCACAAAACACATAGTTTTGAGTCTACCAATCAACAAAAAACTGGACCTGTTTTAATGATTCTCTTGGGCCTGGAGCCCAAGCCCATGTTACACACCTCCTATGACCGGTTCTACTCCCTCCATCCTTTCTTGTCCATCTCCAATCTCAAATACATCTACCGATTTTATGGGTACAGAATTAAAGAGGAGAGGGGGAGTGAAAATTAGAGTTAGTTATAAGTACAAAACTAATAGTAGGGAGAGAGAGAGAAAGATTTGTAATTCCTTCCAATAAGTTGATACCATTACTATATGATAAGGACTCTATTTAAAACAATCAACCATTTTAAAAGTTTAAATCTCTTCCAAAACTCCCCAAATTTTCTTTGGCTAAGGTGTCCATAGATCTCATCCTCATGTCCTACCCCGGAGTGAGACTTTTTTATACTCTCGAGTGAGACTTGGTATTTTTGGTTTGTTTTGGTTTGGTATTGTTTTGTGATAACATAAGTAAAATTCTAAACTTGCAGAAGTTGAGGGAAGAAAAATGAAGGAATACAAATGAATAGATATTTGGGGAAAAGAAGAAGAGAAGCATTGGTATCAGAGGTTTGAGGTTGGTCAATATTTGAAAATCAAGGGTTGATCAAAATTTCATTCTTATTAGAGACACTAAGAATGCAAACCAAACACTAAACATACTTTTAACTCCAAACGATGTGGACCCAAGCTAATTTTGAATGAGAGGAACCAGTGGACATTAAAAGGACTGGTATTTGTAAAAGGTCTGGTGATCGCTAGAAATAAAATTAAGGATCCTCTTGTGTGAATACTTTTTTTATTGAACTCGTATGAAGCCTCCTAATAGCAATTGTTCTATGGTAGATTACTTAAACCTGGTTAAGATCGAATACTTAGTTTGAAGGCCTTGTGCAAATTCTGCCTTGGTGTGTGTTGAATATATTCTCTCAACTTATTCCCTTTGATTCATGAATGCATTTCCATGTTAAATTGAATCATGTCGGGCAAATGAATTCCTGGTAAATAAACTTGAAAGGCCAATAGGAAAAATTGCCATGAGTTGAGGGGTATGTGATAGTGTAGCAGTATTTCTTCTCATAGTATTTAACAGATAATTAGATGGCATATTCTATTACAGCATATAACACATAGTAAGCATTTTCAACACACCTCAGAAAAGGTGCCAGTCAACTTGTTCAACAGTGTAGATTTTCCAACAGAAGGAAAGCCAACCAGACCAACTCTAGCATCACCGCTTTTTGTAACATCAAAACCTTCACCAGCACCAGCCCCACCTTTTGATGGTGGTGCAAGAAGATCCCTCCGCAGTTTTGCAAGTTTAGCCTATCATCACAAACAAAATACAAGACTTGGTTGAGATTAAAAGATAGCGGATGCATGAATACATTATTATTTTGTTACACCAATGTCATTATGTTCCTATGTAACAATCCTAAGCGGCTAACAGGTGCAAAGCTAGAACGATGTAGCTGTAAGATCCTAGTCAATTGTCATCGTAGTTCACATACTTATTAGCTTACTTTGATTGGAGTTTATTAGTCCTCAAGATATTACCCAATTAGATGCCCCTGATTCCCAATTGATCCCCGGAATCGGTATAAGATCATAGTCATTCCATCTTATTTGTAACATCTACACATTCAATATAATATTATATATTGTGGATCTTGAGATCTTGTGAGCTAGGGATCTTTTCGAAACAACCTCTATATGTTTGAAGTAGACAAGGTCATCATACATCTACCCTCCCCCAACCCCACTTGTGGGACTTCACTGAACTTGTTGTTATTGATGTTGGTGATCTTAAAATCTCGGCATTCAACAAATCTCTATAGTCAAAGTTACCGAGACATACCATGTTGCATCAATAGTAATTAACTGTCCTTGGTATCACACCTGTCTTGCTAGCAAAAAGGTTCTAGCTGAGCAAAAACCTGGCAGATCGTTGCACCCCATACTTTTAAAATCCTCCCTTCCCCCCACGCCCCACCTCCCCCCCCCCTCATTCCCCCAGTACATAAGTGAGGATTGAGCAATTTCCTTGTTAACATGACACACTATGCAGAAGGAAGCACTACCTTTAACAAGCCAAGGTGATGGGCAGTAGCTTTATTCTTCTGAGTCCTTGCCATCTGCATCAAAGAAATAGAATGAAATAAATCATTGATCGAGAATGGTTCTCACCATGATAATAGTACAAAGCATCTAAATTGCACGAGTTCAATCACTTTCACATTCTTTTCTCCTTCATGGATACAGACAAATTTAAGACAAAAATAAAAAGACTGCCAATTATTTTAATCCGCAAAAGAAAATGACAATATGAAGTGTCTAGTGGATCACCCGTATAGTTCTGTTTTCTGTCATTTTTTTCTTCTTGAAACTTTGATTACTTATAAAGATAAGAACAAAAAAAATGAAGACGTATCCTACAGCCATTGGTAAGGACTGACAAAAAATGAAATGTCTGCCTGAATCTCATCTCAGGATTTCTAATCCATTTCATTTACTCTCAGTCTCACTGAACAATTATCTTGAGCAATCAAATTATTAAGGTATGGCAACCATTGGGCCGACTTCTAATTTGCTCTAAGCCAAAGGCTTTTGCTGGGAAGAACTAAACCCATTGTTTAGCCAAAACAATCTTGGTGATTCTTTATGCAAACAAAGTACTCACATGCGGTTAAAGCAATGAGCGGGCACATAACTAATACAGGGAAAGAGAAAAAAAGAGAATGAAACTGAAATTGAGCATAACGAGGTATGGAAATGGGCTAATATTATCCTAAATTTGATAAAAGTAGCAGAGTTAACAAGCGCTTGTGCGACAATTCGAATCATGTACATATTCTGCGTACTTGATTATTACCTCATCTTCGATGTCTTTGATTTTCTGCATCACGGTGGCCATCGTTCAAAATCGCGTATGAAACCGGCTGCTCTCTGAGAGTGGCAGAGCTATCGACGGCGGCGGTAGCAGATGATTCACCAGAACGGAAAGGGAAGGACCGTGTCGGAATGGGTCGGATTGACTTGAGGAAGAAGACGAGGTTAGAACAGGATTTTAGCTTTTAGCTTTTAGCTTTTAAGTTATTTATCTACTCCCACGATGACATCTATATTATACTTTATAAATATTTTTATTATTTAATTATAATAAATATATTTAATTAATATTCATTATAAAATGGAACAAAAATACTAAAAGATTATTAAAATAGATATTATATATTTTTGATTTCTTCTATTTTTTAATTCTTCACTCTTCTTGTTCTTAATGGTATTTTGTATGGATCTTAAGTCTCTTATTTATAGTAAAAAAGCTTGGTGGTAACACTATTACAAATAGTATACATACTATACAAATGACAATTTGATGGTAATGATAGAAAATTTGTTCTTACAATTATGATGGAGCATGACCTAATTAATTTGAACAATTCATATATTTTTTAACACCCCCCTTGAATGTTCATTTTTCAATTAATGATGGGTACTTTGTGAAATGGGCGTGGTTTTGAAACTCATCTTAATTTTATGTACTACCTCATTAAAAACCTTGTCAAGAAACACCCGATGGATAAAAACTAGATCAAGGGAAAAAAAGTACAGTTCATAAAAAATCTCTCCCACAGCTTAGCATAATTGACGGAAGTGATGCATGTCAATCTTGTGTACAAGTTCTTCAAATTTCTTTGGGGGCAACGCTTTCGTAATTAAATCAGCAGGGTTTTCACTGGACTTGATTTGCTTGATGTTAACCTTTCCATCTTTCTCGATGTCAACCTTCCCCCTATGCTTTGTTCGGTCTCCTTTGATGTAGCCTCCTTTAACTTGAGCAATGCATGCAATGTTGTCTTCAAATATAGAAGTCGGGTGGCTAGTGATTGTTTCTATACCACACTCGCTCTGGATATGTTGGATCATTGATCGCAACAATATACATTCTCTGCTTGTTTCGTAGAAAGCTATCAACTTTACATGATTTGACGATGTGTAGTCAAAGCTTGCTTCATCGATCTCCGTGGTGATATCTCCATAAGTAAACACATACTCCCTCTGTCCATTTTTAATGTTCAGGGTTTGACCAGGCACGCATATTAATAAGTGATAAAACTTTCATTGACTTTCCTATTATACCCCTACACCTTTACAACTTTACACCCTCCACCCGTGACCATCTCTCATTCCCAACTCACTACCGGCGACTCTCCGGAATTGACACAAATTTTCCAGCATAGTCGCCGACGACTGTCCAACACTACTTCGAACGAATTCTTTAGCTCTTGTATCCAAGATTGTGACGGGAATAGGCGCTAGGAGCAACGGAGGATTTGTAGATCTATAGAATCAATGACAGCTATGTTGGAAGAGGAGCAGATCTGACCGCTGCATCACCTCCGACCACCACCACCACCACCTCGCTGCACCGCCTTTACCCCGACCGCTGCTTCACTGCTCCCAATCAGTGGGTGACAGGACAAAATCAGAAGAGGGGAAAAGGAAAAGAAAAGAAAGAAGAAAAGAAGACGAAGATGATGACGAAGAAGAGAGAAGAAAAGAAAGAAGAAACAGGAAAAGAAAGAAGAAAGAAGATGACGAAGAAGAGAGAAGAAAAGAAAGAAGAAAGAAGAAAAAAGGAAAGAAGAAAAGGAAAAAGAAGATGATGAGGAAGAGAAGAAAAGAAAAGAAAAAGGGAGAAGTGAGGACGGGAAAGAAAGAAAAAAGAAGATAAGATCCGAATGGACGGGAGAAAAGGGAAAAAAAAGAAAAGATAGGAGCGGGTAATGAGGGTAATTTTGTCTTTTTAATGTAAAAAACTTTCCAAAAATAGAAATAGAAACATTATTATTGGACGGACGAAAAAGGAAAGCACGAACATTAAAAATGGATGGAGGGAGTATTCTGTTTTAGATTTTGCCTTTTGTGGTTTAGACAAATATCCTGCATCAGCGTATCCAACAATGCCTCGTACTCGAGGTCGAACTATGTCTGGCTAACAAGTTCACTGAGAATGCAATATCTGGTCGAGCTTTGTTTGCTAGATACATCAAAGCTTCAATAGCAATCAGGTATGGTATTTTTTGACTAAGTATTTCTTCATCATCTTCACGAGGTCAGAACAGATCATCATGTACATTTAGAGAGTGGACAATCATCGAGGAGGTGAGATGATGTGCTTTATCCATATAAAACTTCAGAACCTTCTTGTAATTTGACTTGTGGATGAATATTCTGTCCTTCAAATGGTCAATTTGAAGACCAAGACAAAATTTTATTCTCCCAAGATCTTTCATCTCAAATTCTTTCATAAGATATTTTGTAGTGTTTTCTATTTCATCAGATGTTCCAATGATGTTTAAATCATCAACATATACTGCAATTGTGGGAAACCTGCTTTAGATCTACAGATGAAAATACATGGACTAATTGGATCATTTTTTTATCCTTCTCTGAGAAGATATTGACTGAGACGATTATACCACATTCTGTCAGATTATTTTAGTCCATATAGTGACTTTTTCAATTTTATGGAAAAAATCTCTCGAGGTTTTGAACTATAAACCTCAGGAAATTTTAGGCCTCTAGGTTTTGAACTATATATATATATATATATATATATATATATATATATATATATATATATATATATATATATATACACTAGCATGAGACACACTTCGTGTGTGTGTGCCCAGATATATATGTTTTGAGTAAGTAGAAGTATATTAATATTATACAAAAGAGTGATGGTTACAATAGATGTAATATATTACAACTTACAAACTGTATTAGAGGTAGTGACAAAATTTGGAACTTATTTCGTTCCTTGTAGTCGGGTGTTAGTAGTAGTGAAGTAAGTTTTTAACAAGGGGGTAGGTAGCTATACACCACAAAATGCATTGCACAGGTACTGAACTAAGCTTTCCAAGCTAGCAGGATTTAAGGGCAAAAGACTTCTACACTGATGAAATTTCTCAGCACTGTTTTTTGGGGCTGGGTTCTTCCACTTTCAGCTTTCTCTTTAAGTCTTGACTTGCTGCTTTTTCATGACGGAGGTCGTACAGGAATAGAAGTGAGAATGTCTTCGATGCAGATGTTTGGTTGTAGAGCACTAATCTCATCTTTTATTTCGGACAGAATTCTGAATCTGTAATTATTTGTAAAATAGTTTAAACAAATGTATTCATAATGTGAGACCAAGGATTGCAAAATAGATTCAATGTCTATCGTGGTAAACAGGAAGTGGTTACCTCTTTATGGTTTTTGCTTCAGGGTCACCACACAACATGCATTTAAAACTGATTCCTTCTATGTAGTCCACTTTTCTGTTGCAACTGCTGCAACCTATGTGGAATGTAATGTCTCTAGTTTCTAAGACCTGTAACTGTCCTTCAACCCAGTTGACATCCTCTTATGTGATCATGTAGTATATTTGTATATGTTCAAATTAAAGTGTTACATGCATATTATAAGTTGACAGGACTTATCGAGCATATTATGGTCCTCCAAATATTGTCATGGCAACTTAGATGATGACTTATCTTAGATGTACAGCATATTATAAGTTCCGAAGATTTATCTAGCATATTATGGTCCTCCAAATACTGTCCTGGCAACTTATATACACAGAAATAAAGTTGCCAAATTTCCATAGTTTACAATGAAAAAAAGTTGTACACCAGAATTTCTTGTTTGCGCGGGTATCATTCTAGATTGACCACAGTTGTGAATGGCGCTCGCCACTAACGCCTATGGAGCCAAAGGCACTATGCCGAGGTGTTTCCACCATTGATCACTATGGCGAAGCAATTTACCTAAGGCACGCCATAGGCGGTCGCTATTGTCACCAGCGTGTGCCATCTGCGCTCTGCGTTTGAGCAATGCAGAAGTGTTTTTTGTGGCGATCTGGAGCAATAGGCGAGCAGATCGACTTGGATAAAACCAATGACGCTTAGGATCGCTAGACCTAAGCGATCCGACCTTGGGAAATATACAGCATGTTGGATCAGGTGCAGCCTGGTCCTCCGCAAGTGTCCTTTTCCCTCTCTTCTTTTTCTTTTTTTATGTAGTATTTTTTATATTGGGTATTTCCTTTTGGGATTGACATCCTTTGTCTCTTGGGGAAATCATTGGGTTACGCTTTAACTTCCTTGGTATGTTTAGACATTTTGTTTTTATATGCATGTAAAATACTAATTGCATGTCAATATAAAAGAAACTTATATAAGACACAAGCTGTTGTGGCATTGACCTCATTTTCTGTACGTGCCACTTCAGAGATTGGTGTTGTTTGAATATCTTCAGGCTTTGCAAACAGAGATAAGGGGTCCAGCCATTTTTTCATCTCAATGGCGTGCTCTATGACAGCTGTATTTGAAGACTTCCTGCAAGACACTTAATTAATAAATGCAATATTTGTTCAAAAGGAATGAATGATTGAAAAAAGAAAGGATGCTTTACCATTCATCCAAACTTGATGTAGGTGATATGCCTGGGTTCAGCTCGATTGACGAATCGGATCGTGTTGCTAATGATAGCCCTGGTATAATAATTGTGTTTAAGTTCAGGTGTAGAGGTGTATAGTATGTGAGTATGGGGTATATTGTGTAATGTTAATAATGGTATGCATTTACCTTTGAAAGATGTTGATGCAGTGCCTGATTGCAGTGCCTGCTGAATTTGTCACCCTTGGACTGCTGCAAAAGTGTCCCATAGTGTCAAAGTGATAGGTTTGCATCTACAAGATTGAATTTTCAAGTTAGAAAACAGTAATATCCAAAGCAGGGTCCAATTAGGAAAGAAATTGTAGGGTCATAATGTTGGAAAACATTTTCACTTTGACATTTTGCTAATGACAATGTTTGTTTCCTTTTAGGTTTTTATATTGACAAACCGTCGGGAACATGGAACAAAATGAAAAGATTCAAAGAGATAGAAAAAGTTCTTTGAAGAAACAAAAAGCACAAGAAAGTCATTGACGCTGCTAAAGATGGCGACATTGGCGTTTTGAAGACGTATTCTAAATACTTAGGTTTTTATTGTAACAAGCTCATTCAATTTCTCTACGTCATGGCTCAAAACAAAATATGTTTTTCATGCATCAAATGAGTGTTTTCATAAATGGTTTTTAAGTTTCTAAAACCCATGGTTCTTGCTTAACAAAAACCATAACCATCGGTTATCGGCGTTCGGCTATGGTGTTCGGTTTTCGGCATTGGTTATTGGCATTGATTTTAACCAAATGGTTTTTTGGTTTTATCCTTGGTTTAAGCTTCTGGACACATTAAAAGGTTTTACAAATCATTAGTTTTCAAAAACCATAACCTTTGTTTTTTGGCGTTGGTTATCGGCATTCGGCGCTGGTTATCGGCGCTGGTTTTTGGCGTCCAAATCAATCAAGTGGTTTTTAATATTTTATGATTGGTTTTTACTTCTGGACATATCCAAATGGTTCTCCAACAAAAACATGTTAAAAACCACCTTTCGTTTTTGGTCTTTTGGTGAAAACCATGTGAAACGGCATAAACTTGGTTAGCCATGATTTTTACCTTAATGAAGTGGTTTTTAAGTTTTTATACTTGGTTTCTACATTAAATACATTATATAAGAGTTTCCAACACTTGGTTTTCATTTTGGAGAACTTTAGTTTTTGACATCGGTTTTCGGCGTTGGCTGTCAAACCATGGTTCTGGCGACCAGGCTCAACATAGATGTAGGATCTTGAACATAGATGTCTGGACAGTGATGTTGGGATTTTAACATCTATGTCTGAACAGCGGTGTTGAGATTTGAACATCTATGTTTTGGCCAGATTGGCTCACGTCAGTCTTGGGCAGTAGGTGTTTGAACAACGATGTTCATTGTTGAACAGCGATGTTTTCAAATGACCGTTGGGCTATTTAAGACAAAATCTTTCCATTTTTGAAAGTCAAACACCCCAACATCGATGTAGACTTCTAGACATCGATGTTTTGATGACCGTTAGCCATTTTTAAAGGAAAGTCAAAGCCAAAACAGCGATGTTCACTATATGAACAACGCTGTCGGGCTAGATCTCAGTAGATCCACTTTTATTTGATTTACACAAATCAAGCCAATCAACCCCAATCTTCTCCCAACCGTTGCACCTTGTTTTTGGGTATAAAAAGGGGTCTCTTGGGTCTACTTTTCACAACCATTCCTCAGACATTTCATAGCTTTACATTGCTTCATTCCATAAACTTTTTACATAGATTTTTAGAGCCATTTCTTGAAGAATTGAGTGTGTTCTTGATCTAAATTAGTTTACTCATATTCTACTCTTTAAGAGAGTTTTTGTTCTTGAGTGGTTAAGTGTTGTGAACACTTTAAGGGAGGTTTGTTCCCTTGGTTGTACGAAGGAAGGGCATATTCCTGCGGGTTGAGGTCTTGGAGTGCGGTATCTCCGAGCAAGTGTACTGAGGCTCGTGGGACTCGAGTTCTCAGGTTGTAACGGTTTGTTAAGCACCCGTAAGCTTAACGGAAGTAGTGCAGCTCGAGAGAGTCTCTCGGGAGACTGGACTAGCCACACTTTGTGGTGAACCAGTATAAATCTTGGTGTGCTCTCTTTACTCCTTTTTATTCCGCTCTTTACTTTATCCCTGCGATTTTTATTCTGTGAAAATTTATAAAAATTCTCGTGCCTCACTATTCACCCCCCCTCTAGTGAAGGGCACCTATTCTAACACATAATAAGAAAATCAGTTAGCTAGTGCATAAGAGGTCACAATCAGTTAGCTGGTGCACTGTAGGGTCATAATTAGTAATATCGAATTTGATTAATTAAAGCAGTTAAGTGGTGCATTTAAACCGTGTCAAAGAAGATTTTCCAGTTTTGGTCCAGAGGTTTCATTTTTCAGTTTTGGTACATCAGAATTGATTCCTTGCCACTCTTGGTCCTCTTGGTCTCTTACAGTAAGTCATTCATTATTGAAATAGATTTCACCAAGTCATTGGAAAGACTATTTGTTTTAAGTACTTACACTAAGTAATGCCAGATTTACACAACGTCATGCCAGATTACACAAGTATAGCCATGCTAGATTACACTAAGTCATTCATTTTTGGAATAGATGCCAATGGTAAGAGAATGGGGGCAGTAGTAATTCCAAAAGGGCATCCTTTAGCTTATATTAGTAAGTCTTTGGGAGCTAAGCATCAAATCATGTGTGTTTATGACAGAGACCTATTGGCTTTAATCTTTGGCATTACTAAGTGGTCTAATTACTTCTTGGGAAGACCATTTGTTGTAAGAAGAGATCAAAAAAGTATTTGTTGGAACAGAATATCCACACAGATTTATAAGTGGCAGGAAATACAAAGCTAATGGCTTGTGATTTCACTATTGAGTACCAAAATGGGTACTGACTACTGAAAATAAGGATGCAGATGCCCTCCCAAATAATTCAGAATTAACCCTCCCAAATAATCTCTATTTAGAATAAAGACATGATATTCACATGTCACCTTCTCTAATGTGATGATATTTACTACGTAGTATTATTATTATGTTGATCAAAGAATAAAGCAGACCATAAACATTAAGCTAGAAAAGTAGAAATACCTCCAACGATAAAGTTTGATCAAAATCTAGATTCCCTAGTGGCATGTTTGTTGGAAATTTTAAAGTAATTATGGACATTTTCGGACATAAATTCGGTTGGATCCACAAAATTATTTTTCCAAAATAATTATGGACGATTAATCTCGTAAGTAAGACGAACGTCTTGACATATTACACGCCATAAACGGTGCTCGAGTGAATGAGAAATTAATTCTCAAAGTTGAATACTAAGGTAGAGTAAATGCCTTTGTCCCACACCGGTTTCTAAACCTTTCGTATTCTCATATTTAAGCTTATGCATTGAATTGAGCTTATGAAAGGAACAAGAAGAGAACTCCTCGCGCGCCCGCCGCCGCCGTCCGTCCGTCCGGCGGGTGCGCCGCGGCGGGGCGGGGCGCGGCGTGGCTAATTTTTTACGAGACCGAGTTAAACACACGTGGACACTTCGTAAATTACGAAGTGCCGTCCAAAGGATTAAAGCATGCATGCATTACGGACGAAGAGTCACTCGACTCTTCGTAATGTCCGACGGTCCTACGAAGAGCCAACTTCCTCTCCTTTAAAAGGGGGGGTTGGCCGCAGAGATTGGAGACGAAGAGCACACTCGAAAATCTCTCTCTCTATCTCAGCGTTATAAATTTCCGGCAACATCCCATCTCAGATAGTTTTCTTCGGCGGTAACCTCCATCATTCTCGTTCGTCGGTGCACGGTTCTACCGCTCTAGGCCTTGCACGAAGCGGTTTTATCCTGGGAGGAGATTGCCCACGTTTGTCAGTGCGGGAGGCGGGCAATACTACCTTAAGGAAAGCTCCGGCGACTCCGCTTTCCTTACCCTTCTTTTGCTCCGGCGTCGTTCCTCTCTCCGTCCGTTCGTCTTCTTGCGTTCGTTCAAACATCCGAAGACTCCAAGTTTTATTTTTCTTTTTATTTGTTGTAAAATCCGAACGTTTTATAAGTTCGGATTATTATTTTTTTACTTTCCTTTTAATTTCCTGCTGTAATAGTCATCATTCTTAAGGTAGTAATCTGGAATTCGGATTCGGCATCGCGGGTTCCTCCGGCAACGGAATGAGTTCCGAAGTTCCGGTCGAAACCACCTCGGTTGCCATGGTTGTACCTTCCTCACCGCTGCCCTTCGGGTCGAGTGTGAGGGCTGCCACCATGACCTCCTTCTCGATGCCGAGCTCGATTTTCGGGTCGGCCCCTCGACCCATTCCTGGGCTAGAAACCACGGGGGTTTACCCCGTCGGCAATTCGAACCCGTTTCTTGGACCGATTACGGCTTCGGCCTCAACGGTCAATTTTGGACCGAACGCGGGTTTCCCCGCACCGGTCAATCTTTTTGGACCCCATTGGGCGAGCAACGGGCCTTTCCTCCATACGCCCAATGCGGTGGGGGCCATCTCAGTGCCCGCTAGCTCGGTCCAAAGGCCACCGAAGTTCAATGGAACAAACTTCAAGATGTGGCAACAAAAAATGATGTTCTTTTTGACCGTCCTGGGATTTGCTGAGTACCTACAGCAAGATCCCCCCCAGCCCAATGAAGCCAGCGACCCCCTTGTGGCGATGGTGAACCAAGCATGGTACCACAACAACTATCTCGCCATAAATATTATTCTTGAAGGGCTGGGAGATACGTTGTACCCCGTCTATGCCGGTGCTAAGCTTGCAAAAGAGCTTTGGAATGGCTTGAACAAGAAGTATCAAGCTGAAGATGCCGGCACGAAGAAGTTCATCGTCGGGAAGATGCTGGACTACAAGATGGTTGACAGCAAATCTGTTGTCGCCCAAGCTGAAGAGCTTACGGTCATCTTCAATAAATGCAATGAAGAGAAAGTAGGCGTCAGTGAGGAATTCCAAGTGGGAGCCATCATCCACAAACTTCCACGATCGTGGGAAGACTTCCAAGCCGACCTCAAGCTCAAAAGAACAGAGCTAAACCTGGAGCAACTGCTCACACGACTGAGAATCAGAGAAGAGGGGCTTGCTAGAAGAAGTGGAGGTGCAAAGGCGAATGTTGTAGAACATCCGTCAGGTTCTTCACATGGCGGGAAGGACAAAAAGAAAATGGGTCCTAAAGGTGGAGTTTCTAAATTTGCAGGAAAATGCTACAATTGTGGCATTACTGGGCATCGTTCCTCCGACTGTAGGAAAAAGAAGCCACAAAAAGGAAAGAAAAAAACCACTGAAGCCATGTGTGCGGAGCTTGACAACTTGGACCTCTGCGCGGTTGTCACCGAGGTGAATCTCGTCGGGTCAAACCCGAAGGAATGGTTTGTGGACACAGGAGCTACACGCCATATTTGTTCAAATCGGAGCATGTTTCACGACTTTCAAGAGAGCTCCGGTTACAAGGTGTGGATGGGCAATTCGGCCCAATCAGAGGTTCAAGGGATTGGAAAGATCAAGCTGAAAATGACTTCCGGCAAGGAGCTCACGCTCAACGACGTGCTCTATGTGCCAGACATTCGCAAGAATTTAGTGTCCGGGTCATTGTTGATCAAACACGACTTTCGGATGGTGTTTGAATCAAACAAGCTAATCTTATCCAAGAAAGGGATTTTTATTGGGAAGGGTTACATTTCTGATGGGCTTGTTAAGCTTAATGTAATGACTGTTCATGAAAAGATCAATAAAAATCCTGTTGCTTATGTGTGTGAGTCTTCTAGTTTATGGCATGGTAGACTAGGACATGTTAATTATGCATCTCTCCGGAAATTAATTAACATGGAACACATACCTAAGTTTAGTATTGACTTAACCCACAAGTGCGAAACTTGTGTCGAGGCTAAGTCAACTCGAAGCTCGTTTCAAACAATCGAACGAAATACTCAACCTCTAGAGTTGGTTCACACCGACTTGTGTGATTTTCGAACAACGCCTTCAAGAGGAGGTAATAAGTACTTTATTACCTTCGTCGATGATAGCACGAAATATTGCTATATCTATTTACTAAAAGGTAAAGATGAAGCGTTAGACACTTTCGTTCGTTATAAGAACGAAGTGGAAAATCAACCCAATCGCAAGATAAAAGCATATAGAAGCGATAGAGGTGGTGAGTATGATGCTCCACTTAATGAGTTTTGTGCACAACATGGAATTGTGCATCAAGTAACCCCACCGTATACACCACAGTCTAACGGAGTAGTGGAGCGCAAGAATCGCACTCTAAAAGACATGATGAATGCGATGCTGCTTAGTTCTGGATTACCTCAGAATATGTGGGGGGAGGCTGTTTTATCAAGTAATTTTTTACTAAATAAAATACCTCGTAAAAAATTTGACAAAACTCCGTACGAACTTTGGCATAATAGGAAACCTTCCTATAAGTATCTCAAAGTGTGGGGGTGTCTTGCGAAAGTACTTGCACCACCACCGAAGAAGATGAAGATCGGTCCAAAAACAGTTGATGGAATCTTCATCGGGTACAATAGTACGTCATACCGGTTCTTGGTGTATAAATCAGATAATCCTGAAATTCACAAGAACACAATCATCGAGTCACGGAATGCAACATTTTTCGAGCATATTTTTCCATGCAAGTCAAGTGACGAAGCCAGTTCGTCCAAACGTTCTCATGCTGAGATGATGGATAATGATGATCCAAATCAGTTGAATTCCGATGACGATGATAATGAAGTCGAACATGAGACTGAACTGAGACGAAGTAAAAGAATGCGAACTGAAAAGACGTTCGGTTCTGACTTCATAACATATCTGATAGAATTTGACAAAGGAACTTTGTCATTTCTAATGGAAAATGAACCCGATATTCTAACCTGTTTGGTAGAAAAGGAACCGCGAACCTATCACGAGGCCGTAACCTCAACAGAGGGACCTCAGTGGCAAGAGGCCATAAAGAG